TGATATGTGCATTGATTGCTATAAATTGGCCTCTGATCAGTGCTGTTGCTGTGTTCCAGAGATTTTGATATAATGTGTTTTCATTCTTGTTTGATTTAAGAAATTTTTTAGTTTCATTTTTTCTATTACCCAGTCTTTCTTAAGGAGGATGTTGTTCAGTTTCCATGTGTTTGCTCTTTTTCCATCAACATTCCTATTGTTGATTTCTAATTTGATAGCATTGTGATCTGAAAAGATACTTTGCAGTATTTCAAATGTTTTTTAAGCCTTGTTTTATGGCCTAACATATGGGCTATCCTGAAGAATGTTCCATGTGCACTGGAAAAGAACGTATATTCTTTTTATTATTGTTGGATATAGTGCTCTGTAGATGTCTATAAGATCAACTTGGTGGATTGCATTGCTTGGTTTTTCTACATTTTTGTTGAGTTTCTTTCCAGTTCTATCTTTCATTGAAAGTGGTGTATTAAAATCTCCTCTTATGACTATGGAGTCATATATTTGTCTTTTCAATTCTGTTAAAATCTGATTTATGTATTTTGGGGCTTTTTCATTGGGTATTAAATGACTTTTGCTTCTTAATGTGTGATTTTTTTTTTATATATATATTATCTCATAACTTGTCTGGTCTTCAGTCATTGGTGTTTAGTGCATGAAATCTATTCTTCAGATGGTCTCTAACTTCAGGTGGGATGTACTCAAGGTCATATTTTGGCTCTTGTGGACTTGTTTTCATTTTCTTCAGCTTCAACTTCAACTTGCATATGAGCAACTGATGTTCCTGGTCTAGTTAGGACTGATGATATTGAGCTGCTCCATTGACTCTTTCCACAAATGTATTTGATATGATTTCACCCAAATCACAATTAAAAAAAAAAAGATATTATCACTGCAGAAAGCTGAGTAAAGGGTACAGAGGAACTCTCTGTCCTATTTATTTTACAACTCTTGTAGTTCTTAAATTATTTCAAAATAAAATGTTTTTAAAAATATCATTTGAGTTTTTTGAGATTTTATTGTATCTACAGATCAGTGAGAAGTTGACATGATTAAAGTATTGAATCTTTCAGTCAATAAACATAATATTTTACTCAGTTTATTTGGGCCTTAGTTAAATTTTCTTATTGTGCTATTTTTCTTGTTACAGAGTTGTAGAATTTAATATTAGATTTCTTCTTAGAGAGTTTGTGTGTTTTACACTACTGTAAATGTTAACTTTTTTTGAACTTTCTTTTCTAACTTTTCTTTTTCCTTACTGAAAATTCAGTCTTTATTCCTTTCCTTATAGCTTCCACCTCTCTCCTTTACTTTTCTCTCTATGGTCATGAATGACTTCTATGTGCACCTATTGGCATTAAGATCTCATTTAATTGATCTCTTAATAGAATGTGACATAAAATTTATACATCGTTTTTGTTGTCTCTGGATGATGCTGTTTTCCTAAACCTCTTGGACTCTTGGAACTCAATAAACAAACGTCCTGCTGATCCAAAGATAGCATGTGGCTGTGTCTCTCTGGATTGAATGAGAATAACAAGGCCTACTTCTGGGTATTCAGGAAGACTGGCAAATAAGCATGGAGGCAATTTTGGGGGTTGAGATTGTTGGAGTCTGGACTGGAACACTAATGAGATCCAAAGAGCATAAATTCCCTGGGCCTTAGGAAGCAAAGTGGGCAGAATTAGAATGAGGGTCAATCTTCACAATAATCCACAAATTGAGAGAACGTATTTCCACTAATCTTTAATATTTCAAATATCATATCAATATAAATTAACAAGTATTTATTGATCGCATTTCTGCTAATGGGGACATCTTAGGAAGAAACTTTTGATGAAGGGAGTCTTCTGCAGTATTGGCAACGTTCAATTTCCTGTACTTAGTTACACAGTTTGCTTCAAAATAATTTGTCTAGATATGTATTTACATACTTTGTCCTCTGTAAAGGAGCTCTGGTGGCAAGGTGCCTAAGGCATTTGACTGCTAACCAGAAGACTGGTGGTTCAAACCCACCAGCCACTCCTCAGAAGGAAAATTGGGCAATCTACTTCTGTAGTGACACTGCTTTAGAAACCTAAGGAGGGGTCAATATGGGTCGGATCCTACTTGATGGCAGTGAGTTTGGATTGGAGTTTTGTCCTTTGTAAGTGTATTATGTATCACACACTTACACAAAGGAAATAACAAGGAGGAATGTTAAGGAAGCTGTTCAGAGATGATCTCTCTGAATTCAGAAAGATAATTTTTACAGTCTGGAAAGAGATATTATGAATATAGTAAACTCAGCTACAGAAAGGCCATGTGGCACAGAGGGAGTGCTCAGGTTTTATAAAGACGAGTGTTAGCTGGATCTTCATGCACTAATTCTACCATGGAGAATACTGGACGGGTCCCTAGCTAATTTCTTGCTGAAGTTACACTTAGAAAGATTCTCAGGTTTATGGTTAGGCTTGTTGATGCAATGTATTGAAAGTTCAGGAAGTTGTATTTAAGCTGAAAGCTGTAACAGGAAAAATGGATAAATTGTTGGCTACTTCTTTGCAGTTGAAGTCCCAATCCTGCCTCCCCTAGCCACTTCAATGTTTATGTTAGCTTCTCCACAGTCATGTCTACGGAAAATAGATGTATCTACGGCAATCACTGAAATTGCACCCCTATCCAAACATCTGATACCTATCTTTTAGATAATTTTACCATAATAGCTCAAAAATACAAGTCAAGCTCATTAATCTTTTATTTAGCACATTATAGCACTACATGAAAATTACAACTGCATCTTCCTTGTCTTCAGTGATGAAAATTGGTCTATGATGTACTTAAAGTCATTTTTTCTGTTTCTTCTTATTCTGTATTCAGCAAAGTAAGATCAAGCATCTGCTTTGACCCATGGAGATCTCAAATATGAAAGTATTAGTTTAAACTTACTGAATTTTCTCTCACAGTTGGTGATGGAAATTACTATGGTCAGTAGAAACTCTTCAGTGGTGCCTCTCTTTAAGTGGCACCCAGGGCACATGTCATACCTGCTATGCCTTAGATACCCCTCCATTTCTTCACCCTTCAGCAAGGTGAAAAGGAGCTATCTATGGAATTTGGGACACACTGAACAATTCTGAGATTCCCAGAAAATTTTAGGGAATAGCAAGTCTCCTGGTAGCTGATAGAACAGAAGACACATATAAAGGACACCCAGACACTTCATTTATGTTCTTTCTTGAATCTACACATATTTCTTTATCTTTTACTGTCCTGAAGATAGTGGAACTACTCTGGTGTATTCTCAGTGACCAAAAGCCATGCTGTTCACTTGCCTCAAGAAAAAGAGACTTTTCTGATTTGACTGTTCAAATCTTGCTCTGGGAAAAATGGTTCTTTCCCTGCTGTATCTTAAGTATAAGTCCTTTGAGCACTGGGGAAACACCAGAGGCCTGATGCCATTGGTACCACTTTTGAACAGGAACTGAGGTTGTTCATCTTGTTTACCCTCCTCATCACATGTTGTTGTTGTTGTTAGGTGCCATCTAGTTGGTTCCAACTCATCACAACCCTGTGTAAAACAGAACAAAATACTGTCTCTTCCTGTCCCACCCTCACAATTGTTGTTAAGCTTGAGCCCATCATTGCAGCCACTGTGTTATTCCATCTCTTTGAGGATCGTCCCATTTTTCTCTGACCCTCTACTTTACCCAGCATAATATACTTTGGTCAGGGACTCAAAGTGTAATAGTTTTATCCTCCATGTGATGGGACAAAAGAAAATCTAATATTTCCTGCTGCCCAAGTGGCTCCACACCTCTTGTGGTGATGTTGAAACATTTCACACATAATGCTTATTTGGGTCTTACCAGTTCTGCCAGTGCTGGGTTCATCCACTACCCTGCATAGCTGGAGACAAAGTTGTGTCCTATTGCAATCTGTTCCCTTTCATTTTTGGCTGGTTCTGCATCATTTGTCTTCATTATCAGTGCATATCCTTCCCTCAGTTCCCTCTAATACCAACAGAGATGAAGCTGCACTATTCATTACAATTTGCTGATGGTTTGGGAACTCATAACAACTCACAGCGACCCCTATTGGGTTTCTGAGGCTGTAAATCTTTACAGAAGTAGATACTCCATCTTTCTTCTGTGGAGCAGCTGGTGGGTTATGAACTGCTTGCCTTCTGGTTAGCAGCCAAATGCCTAATCCACTATGCCACCAGAACTCCTTGGTTTGGGAATAAGTGATTATAACTTACAGGAAGTTTAGAATGAGATACAAGATATGGCTGTTCTTAGAATACACAGGCTCAATCTTCTCCACATTTAGCCACCTTTCTATCTGACATCAAGTGGCGAGGACCTGCTTACCTCCCTCCAGTTGCAGTCACCTCAGACCTCTCTCCTATGCAAAGTCTGAATCTCACCCATGAGAAAACTCCAGAAAAGGAAATCATTTTCCTACTCACTGCAGTCTAAGGTCCATAACCTCAGCTATGCTTTCATCACAAGGTTTGCCAAGAATGATTGCTAGTGGGTATCTTACTGCCCTCCTGAGAATTCTCTGTCCACAACTTTGAGCCTAAACTTTCCACCTCTGCCCTTTTGCCATTCCCAACACCTCTGCATCTTCTTCAGGCTCTGTGCACAGGATTCTTCCTGCTTTTCTGCATTCCAGTTAGGTATGCTCTCGTATTCTCTTAGCTTAATAAGCCTTTCAGTCCTGAGTTCTTGTGTTCTCCCACATTGTAGTGTCAGGGAAAAGACTATAGAGCATAGCAACAAAAATGCCTAGTGGTGGGCCTGGACTCAATCAGGCCCAGGACTAACTAGCTAGTCTCTCTTCTCTCTGAGTTGCCAACAAGAGCAACTACAGAGTCACTTGTTTTCATAGGTGCAGGGTATGTCTTTATAGGACTTATCCCCACCCCTACCCCTTTCTGGTGAAGCCCAACATAGTAGGTGTATAAATAGGCACCCATTGCAGCTTCCTGCCTTAACCTGCTTCTCTCTTCCTTCAAAATGGACAAGTTCCTCCTGCTGCGACACTTCACCTTTCTCTGCTGCTTGCCATGTACGTTTCTGGGGTGGAGAGTTGGTGAGACATGTCTAAGATCCTGGAATGAGTCAGGGTTCCTGTGAGAGAGAACCTTCTAGAGGGAGGCATATTAGTAACAGAAGCATGATGAACTGTATTTCTATGGCCATGCCTTCCATCCACAATGTGTCATGTTTCTGGGATTTTCATCAAAACCCTTTAGACCTTCCCTTGTAATAGGAAATAGGCAGACTAGAAATGACTTAGAATTTCCAGAGAAGCTGTGAGATGGTGTTTGGAAAATGAGATAATCAAATAATGCATCTTTATTCCCCCCTCCCCCCCGTAGTGTTCTCTAGTTCATTTCTAAAACAACTTCTCCCAGGTAAGTATAAACTGGTCAGTCTTGGGACAGGGGTGGGGAATTGAATGGGATATTGGGGCAGGGTGGGCATTAGAGGTTCAAGAGAACCAAGAGCTAATTTTTATATTCAATATCCTCAATTCCAGCACAATGGGGCTTGGATGAGTGCTGACTTTAGGTGTCACAGGAAAAGATGAGCAACATCTGGCAAAGCTAGCAGTGAGTGTGAAGAAGGGAAGGGAAAAAGTGGAATGATTACTTTACAGGTACTACTTGGCCACATCCTAAGTGTAGACATGTCATCAACTTCAGGTGTGTGTCCCCATTGTCTGTTTTCAGGCACATGCAGGTGAGAATGCTACACAGGATTAATTTAAAGAAAGGAAATGAGGCTCCAAACATGTGGATTTGCTATATTTGCTTTATCCTTTGGTCTCATGCTGTAAGGGGGTTAGAAGAGTCTGAGAGACCCAAAGAGGTGAAGAGAAGTGGATGAAAGGAGGGAAGAGGTACAGAACTACCATGAGACAGATGACTAGGCTTTGGAGGGGCAGAAAAGCTTGGAATAACTCCAGGTTAAGGATCCTAAAGTGAAATGACCCAGGCCATAGGCAAGGGTAGATATTAAACAAAACTGCAGGCTTGTTCTGTTTATCTTTGCCAGCAAAAAAGAGTAGTTATTGGCAAAACAAAAGCAAGATTCTGGTGGGTATGGACAAGATCTTCTCTGACCATGTCAGTCCTGATTTTGTTTCTCTTTCTTTATCCTTCACCTATACTTTCCTCTCCTGTTTTCAGGCTAAATCTCTCTCTTGGTTTAGGCTATTTTAATAGAAGTAGATGCCTTGTTAGGAGCTCTTGCAAAGTCCTCGGGCTCCAAGGCAACTTCAAACCTGAAAGAGGAAATGGGTCCTTTCAAGGTAGTCTGAGATCTGCACTAAATTTCATTTCCCTATCCTCCAGCCAAATTTCAGGAGACTGTTCAGTGTAGGATGTGTCACCTCCAGTTTCCAGAAGAGAAGTGTTCCAGAGGAAGAGGAATATGTAATGCAGATATAAATGAGGCCTGTGTGCTAGTGAATATTTCCAGACGTAAGTTTGGCTTGAGAATAAATGGAAGGGGCAAATGAAACAGACAGACACAAATTAGCCTTAGTAAGAAGAGGGCCTTGCTTTACTACAGATAGTGTCAGTTCTGGGATGACTGTTATTGCTACCTTTGTCCTATACCACAAAGAAAAATAGATAGAGGTGGCCACTAAGGGGTGAGTGACAATTCAACCTTGAGATTCCCTGAATTACTTCTCTCATTACCTCCCCAAGCTTCTCCGTGATATTTTTTAAGGGGCTCTACTGTTGCTCTTCTTTTGGAAAGCACCCTATTTGCCACATCTTCCAGTCCTTAGTATTTGACCTACAGAGCATTGAATACTCAAGACTTTCTTGCAGAGATCTCAGGGGCAGACTGGATGATCTGTTTCTCCTCCTTCCTTAACAGGTGCTTATCTCCTCGATACCTGGTTAGCCATCATGGGCTGCCAAAAGAACTGTGCTGATGTTCAAATGATGCATTGGGGTATCTATACTGTGAAATTCCGCTGCTGCAGAGACTCTAACCTGTGCAATGAGAAGCTCTAGAAGCCACTGGTCCTTCTGTGGCTCCCATCTCTGAGTGACCTTGCCATCTGGATCTCTTCACAATGGCTTCCTACAAAAACACTGCACAGGAGGACTGAAAGAACCCAAATATGCTCTCTGCATGTGGAAGTAAAGGTCCTCTCTTTTTATGGCTTCTGTCTTCACTCATCAAAGAGAACAGGATTAATGCATCCTGCAGACTGTTACAAACCCTAGTGCTTTCAATACCCAAGTGGCTTAGGAAAATAAGAAAGAGGACAATACAATTTCAAATGGAGATACCTTCCTCTTTTTCTTGCTTCTTTCTTTCCTTCTGTAGCAAGATATTTTTGTATTTTAAAATGTTTTATCCATATATATTTTTGGTCTTTTCCCACTCCAATTAAAGCATGCAACTCTGGCCTCATGGGAGGGACATGGCAGAGTGAAAAGAGATGTTGTAAGCCTTCTTGGACTTTGTTTATGAATTCCAACTCCAGCATGTGACAATTAGGGAGTAGAAAGAAATTTTCAGCACAGCAATGGAGAAAGACGGATTTTCTGAATGAGCCTCTCTTTGGCATCGGGGGTCGAAGAAGAAAAGGAGAAATCTATGGAGTTGTTCAGAGGGTGTTGGCAAACTGTTTTCCTGGAAAATTCATGGGAAAACATAAAAACTTTTGTTGTATGAATATACGTCTACAAACCCCGGTTTCTCCTTCTCAATTCAATTGGACATAAGAAACAAACCATGTGACCTTTTACACATATCATACAGGAGAGCAGGTAATGGAGCAGATAACCCGCTCACCAACTTCTTGTGCTGTTATTTATCATTTCCAATGGCTGATAGATAGACTGATAGTGCACAGATTCAATCTTATGATTTGATGACCCAGAAAAAAAGAAATTAATGATGGCCTTTAGGTCTCACGATCACTTGATGACTCATATTTAGGGAAATTGAGTCATTAAGAGGTTATAACTTGTCATGGCATTTAAGTAATAAATGACAGATCCAAGATTCAAACTTATGCAGTCTGGCGCCAGAGTCTGTGCTCTTAACGATTATCCTACAAATATGTAGGAAAATATTTGTAATCAATATAAGAATATGCCAGGGCAATTTAAAAAAAAAAAAAAGGACCTATGCAGACCAGGGTTTTAGGAAAGATCTTTCAAGAAAGTTAAAGTTAGGGTGAGACATGAGGGCTGTATTGTTAGGTCAGAATAAGTGGGGGAAAGATGAAGAGCAGACATATGAAAAAGCACCTCCTTTCCAGGTAAAGGAAGCAGGATGTATAAACCACCTGAGGAATAAAGGAGTTTCTGTCATGGCTACCCCTCTTTTCTCCTAAATTTTGTGATTCTTTCTAGCCCTTTAGAAATCTAGCCCCTTTATGTCTGGATACCCTTGCCTCACACTTGCAAATTGACTGTCTATTTTGGGGTAGTAAATTCCCTCCTTATTGCACAGATATATAGGATATGAGAACAGGAAGAGCTCTATTTGGTTCCTGTGGGGTAAAGAAGTACCACAGTCTTCTGTCTCTCTCTCTCAAAGTCAATTTTGGAGAAATTCTAAAACTGAATTTCTATGAACCAACAAAACCACAAGAAACCCCCCAGGGTCACATAGGATTGGCTGAGGCAGTATGTGGGATGAGGGGCAAGGGTATTGTTGTCTATAATTTGGTGTTATTATTGAAAGCTTTTTCAATTCTGCATTTGCCTCTCTTCTACATCTGTGTTGGACCATATTATCTGTTCCTTCAATACATCAACTGGCAATGATGCAGATTAGATTTTTGGTGCAGGGATGGAAGGGAATATTACTAGGGGAGATGTTGCTATTCTGTTCCTTCCAAAGCCCCAGGACTTGTGGATGACATTTTAGGAAGACTTCTTCAGCCCAACGTTACTTTTCTTTAAGGGTTAAATTGTACAACTCTGGGGGAGGAGATGATTGATGAAGTGGCCACAAACAAAAGTTACTATTTTTGCAGTGCCTGCAATTCACCTGGTGAAGTGAATTCTCTTCTCTGCAATTTGAGCTCACTAGTACTAACAGAATAGGATCTGGCCTTCTACCCTTCCTAAAATCCATTATCAGACAGATATTCTGATAACTGTCAGGAAATATTAATCTACCAACAAAAATCATTAGAAACCTGAAGAGTATTTCTTCGTCTAAAGAAAATCACACCAAACAGCATGTATCATCTGAAGCCGACTATTTTTAGGATGATTAGGGATTCAAAACAAGAAGTTTAAAAATATTCTTCAAGAGATCAAAAAAAGATGCAAGCTGAAACAAAACGTAAAAAAGAAACAAATGGAAATATATTTGCTGTAAAGTATGTAGTAGGTAAAATAACACAATAGATAGAATATTAAGTGGATAAATACTGATGAAAAACTAGGCAGTTGAGAGATCAGAATGAGAAATTCTCTCAAAATACTTCAGGAGAGCAAGAGAGTTACAAAATATCACCATAGAGTAAAATTGTTCACAAACACGAAAAAAGAAAAAGAAAATCCTACAAGTAGTGAGTTAAAGAATATCTAAGACAAAGACAAACCTTTAGACACTTTCAGTGAGATAGAGCAGTTGTCTCAGGAATGAAATTTATGTGTAAAGGGAGAAGAAAGAAAGCTTAAAAGTTCTTCAACTGCCTTAAAACAACAACAACAAAAGTTACCATTATTCATAACTTATGAAAAGCAGATATATCTAAATTTTATTGTGGAGGTGGAAAATTAAGACAGCTGGAGAGAATTCCAAACTTTCAAGAGTTAAAGTTTATATTTCATAGGAGTTTGCCACAATCCTTAAAGTTTGGGTGTTTAAAAGATCCCTTTGATAAAGGAAAAACAGAACAGCATTAAATATTTTCACACAATTTTCTGTGTGTAGAAAACAAGAATGATAGTTTGGGAATGTTCTCAGCTTACCTGCGTTTTAATACCTACTTTATGACAGAAAATAGTCACAGCTATAGATCATTTTCTCAGTCATATCTTCCTCAATTTCTTTTGGGCTAACCTAGAACTTCTCATTATTTCATTTTACCTCCACTATTAGCTTTTTTATTGTTGTAAAAATACATACAACACTTTTTGCCATTAAACATATTTCACTTGTACAATTTAATGATATCATTTACACTAATCATGCTGTGCAAGCATCATCCATAATCATTTCTAAATTTCCCATTACCATAAACAGAAACTCACTGCTTCTTAAACAATGAATGTCTTTTCCCCCCTTCTATCCTGTCCCTGGTAATCATTAATAAAATTGCTCTGGTGGTATAGTACCTAAAGCATTTGACTGCGAACGAGAAGTCTGGAGGTTCAAACCCACTAGCCACTACTCAGAAAGAAGACTGGGCAATCTACTTCCACAGAGATATCACCTTGGAAGCCCAAGGAGAAGTCACTATGAGTTAGATTTGACTCAATGGGAGTGAGTTTTCTATACATTTGCCTATTTTTATTATTTCATATAAGTTAGATCTATTACTAAAGGTGTGTGGTAATGTACCAAACAGTGTTTCTTTGCTATTTTTTTTTTTTTTTGCTTGTGAGTTGTGGTGCTGGCGAAGAATGCTGAAAATACCATGGACTGATAAAAGAACTAACAGATCTGTCCTGGAGGAAGTGCAGCCAGAATGCTCCTTGGAAGCAAGAATGGCCAGACTTCGTCTCACCTATTTTGGTCATGTTGTAAGAAGGGACCATTCCCTGGAGAAGGATGTCATGCTTGGTAGGGTGGAGGGTCAACGAAAGAGGGGAAGGCCTTCAACGAGATGGATTGACACGGTGGCTGCAATGATGGGCTCAAGTATAGCAGGGATTGTGGGGCTGGTGCGGGATCAGGCAGTGTTTCGTTCTGCTGTGCATGGGGTCGCTAAGAGTCGGAAACGACTCGACGGCACTTAACAACAACAACAAGTTAGATCGTGAAATATTTGTCTTTTGAGAATGACTAATTTCACTCAGCATAATGTTTTCAAGGTTGATGCATGTTGTAGTATATGTCAGAGCTTCATTTCTCTTTATGGTTGAATAGTATTCTGTTGTATACCACATTTTATATATCCGTTCATTCATTGATGGATGTGTAGGTTGTTTCATGTTTTGGCCATAGTGAATAGTGCTGCAATAAACATTGGTGTACATATGTCTGTTTTTGTTTCTGCTTTCAAGTCTCTTGGGTATTTACCTAGGAGTGGCAAGCCAGTCACTGTTGTTATTTGCTTCTTAAGGGCACTATTTTTTTCCTTTCAATTAATCCTACCCTCTGAAGATATAAGACAGGTGAAAGTATCAGTCTACTCTTGTTTCTCAGTCCATTGTTGTACAAGGACCACTTGTGAAAGTGAAACACAAGACCACTATCAATTTCTTTAGGAGTACCATACATAGACAATTTTCCAAACGTGAAATGGCATCAGTCTAATGGCTGTTATATTAGGAAAAGCATGAGTAATCCTCTGAAGATATCCACATATATGAGAGCAAATTTATATTTCTTACTTTTGGGAAAGGGGCCAATATAATCAAATCAAATCTGCAAGGGACCTTCACCTATTTTTGATGTGCCCTATCTTATTTTAAAATGAAACAGTGTGCCTGGGGCCACATATCAGACTGTCCTCAATAGCTCAATTTACTTGTTTTCTACTAATGGTAATTCTTACTCCTTGAGCTAGGTTCCTTGTGGCTTGAGCACCTAGATGCCCCCCATCTTTTAATATCTACATGACTATATCTAATTTATTAGTTTGGACAAAAGCCATTACTGCTGTTAGGTTGTCTGCTTCCTTACTGCACATGGAGCAGTCACTTTGGAACTGAGTTCTTGTCATTTACCCCAGATATCTCACCATAATTCCTGCTGCTGTAAAGCTCTTCCATTACTTCCCACTCTTCTTTTTCCCATTGGGATAAATTAAGACCTATCATCATAGCCCAGGACTCAGGGCAAATTGTCAATGGGTGGGATTTCTGGATAA